TTTGTATGGTATACTACGTTCCTGTGCTTTGTTTAGAATATTCTTAAATAAGTTATATATTGAATCCACATCGAAATCCCCATTTAAGTCACCTATCGCTGGGTTCATGTCTCGCTCCAAGACCGGCCCACACCCCATACCCAAGACTTTCCAATCAATTTGACCCAAAAAATTTCTTAGGCTATTAAAATCAGCTTTTCGAAAATCTGGCACTTTAACAGAATTTTCTCCTACTGGTCTATTCCATTCTATGCTAAATCTGATTTCTTTGTGATCACTGCTCCCTAGCTCACTCCCTATTTCGATGTCATTAATTTGCGTTTCCCTGTTAGTTAACACTAAATCTAAAATATTATTTTCCCGTGTTGGTTCCTTAATGTGTTGCGTAAGAAAGCAATCGTCAATTAATTCTAGAAAATCTTCTGCTTCACTATTCCCTGTTTTGTTCAACCAGTTTATTCCGCTAAAATTAAAGTCACCCATGACATAAATACTGTTAGATCTAGATGCTCTAGATATTTCATCCCATAGATGCTTTGCTTCCATTCTGTCTAAATTTGGTGGCCTATATATTACTCCTATTATAATATTATTAGCTTTTTCGTTTAATTCAATCCAAATAGTTTCTGTGTGTGGCTCTGTTTTGATTCCCTCTTTGAGACTACATTTCAAATTGTCCCTAACATATATGGCTACTCCACCTCCTCGTCTAATATATCTATCTGTGTGAAATAGTTTAAATCCATATATTTGATATTCAGCTAATAGTTCTCTATTTTCTACATTCATCCACGTTTCGGTAAGTGCAATAATATCTATTTTTTCTGTGCAGACAAGAGCATTTAATTCGTTAATTTTATTTCTTAGACTTCTACTGTTAGTGTAATATACCCTAAGTGAATTGTTATTTTGCGGACCTTCTCTTTCCCTGATCGTTTTGCCAATTCCTTTCTCCCACAAACACATACTTTTATTACCTCCTTCCTCCAAATCAATTCCCATACCTCTATCTACTAACAGTTTAAACCCAAACAAACACCTCTAACCACTTCTTCTAACGAGTTCGCAACAGCAACAACCCCAGCTCTCGATAGATGCACCCCATCACGAGCATACATTTCATTTCTTCCATAGAAGTGTTCCCAGTTGTCTATGAAAGATATTGCATTTGATTTGCAATATCTTTCCAGCCGGCAATTGACACCAAGTGCCCTCGATATCCATTCATTTCCCACTCCCTTTCTTGGAAGAATGCCACATATGATCGGGATTCCTCCCTTGCTCCTAACTAACTCTATGGCTGTTTTATACCTCTGAATCAGTTCCTCACTCCTAACTCGACCAACATCATTTCCTCCCACGCTAATGCAAATAATGGGATTGTTCCCATTACCAGCCATAATATCATTCATGTTGTTTATAATATCACCAATGCCAGCTCCGGGATAGCAAACCCTTAACCTGTTCCCCCTATCTCTAGCACAAAACGTTCTATCCAAATACCTTATCTGGGAATCTCCCACAACTAATGTTTGCTTAGGTACTTCCTTTACCCTCTGAGGGGCCTGCGCTTCCTTTCTCTTCGTTGCTTTCCCTTTTGCGCGATCCCCAGTCTCTCCACAGCACTCGTCCTCCAAAACGTCAAATGAATTAGAGGTTGCTATGGCGTTTGAAGGCGGCTTTATCAAAGTCTTCTTAAGGCCCCTGTCTTTCACAACTCTCCAAGACGAGGTCCCTTTACTGCTGGTCTCCTCCTTCGTTACTTCTCGTTGTTCTTTAAGCTGACGCACCTCCTCCCGCAGAAAGTCCAACTCTGTCCTCAGGGCTCCCACTAGAGTCACCAGGTCCTTAACTACAACTTCCATATTGCTATGATAATATAACACTACGGAGCTCCGGTTAACACAACCTCTCACTGTGAATTCACCTGGCCGACTGACTGACTACCCTCCCGCTCTGGGGGCTTGCTAGGAGCTTTGGCTTTGAATTGTTTTCCACATATGCTGTTGTGAAGTCACCAAACATGCCGCTTAGGCAGGTTGTTGTTTTGCCCTCAGCTTTAGTACTTTTTTAATGATATACTGTGCGATAGTATTAAAAGATATACTTTTAATGATATCCCTTTGTGTGCCGAGTCTTATATAAGAACAAGACAATACAAATGATTTTTCCATAGTACTAACCCATTATTATTATCATCTTAACTCTTGTGGGTGAGATTGCCATCTAACCATTTTGATATATTTTAGTTTGTGTTGTTAGGGGAATATGTGTGCTTAGGGGTACCTATCTCTCCCCATGCCTAGTGGGTGGGGGAACAGGTGCCCTGAAGTTATATAAAAACCCTCCCCCACCCCTCTCCGAAGTCGCAAGGGGATGCAGGGGACAAATATCTCTTCAGGATTGGCATTACAGTTAAGAGTTAGAAATACATAAAGTATATTTGAGAGGATGTGCAGTGACTTAATATCTAACATATTCAAAGATTTAAATAAGGATTGCTGTCTGGAGCCACAGTTTTATCAATAAGAACATAAGAACAAAGGTAACTGCAGAAGGCCTATTGGCCCATACGAGGCAGCTCCTATTTATAACCACCTAATCCCACTCATAAGAACATAAGAACAAAGGCAACTGCAGAAGGCCTATTGGGCCACACAAGGCAACTCCTATTTATAACCACCCAATCCCACTCATATGCATGTCCATAAGAACAAAGGTAACTGCAGAAGGCCTATTTGGCCCATACGAGGCAGCTCCTATTTATAACCACCTAATCCCACTCATAAGAACATAAGAACAAATGCAACTGCAGAAGGCCTATTGGCCCACACAAGGCAGCTCCTATTTATAACCACCCAATCCCACTCATATACATGTCCAATCTACGCTTGAGACAATCGAGGGACCCCACCTCCACCACGTTACGCGGTGATTGGTTCCACAAATCAACAACCCTGTTACCGAACCAATATTTACCCAAGTCTTTCCTAAATCTAAACTTATCCATTTTATACCCATTGTTTCGTGGTCTGTCTTGTGTCGATACTTTTAATACCCTATTAATATCCCCTTTGTTATGTCCATTCATCCACTTGTAAACCTCTATCATGTCACCCCTAACTCTTCGCCTTTCAAGTGAAGGCAATTTAAGCTTTGTTAATCTATCTTCATATGACAGGTTTCTAATTTGGGGAATTAACTTAGTCACCCTACACTGGACACGTTCAAGTGAATTTATATCCATTCTATAGTACAGCGACCAAAATTGAACTGCATAATCTAAATGGGGCCTAACCAGAGCAAGATATAGCTGAAGAACAACACCAGGTGTCTTGTTACTAACGCTTCGATTAATAAATCCCAGTGTCCTATTTGCCTTATTATGAACATTCATGCATTGATCCTTTTGTTTTAAATTCTTACTAATCATAACTCCCAGATCCCTTTCCCAATCCGACGTCGTAATCTCAACACCATCAGTTCCTCACTCTTAATCAGTCTGACCTACAAAGTCTGCGCGAGGAGTAGGTCGCTAAAAGAGCAAAGCCCAACATATCTAGATCAGGTGGGGCTGCTTCAAGCCCCCATTTCCCGGTCAGAGCCGTGTTTCTCTCTTCATTGCAGAGTCGGGGTTTCCGCGACAGTTGCTCTGTCGGTGAGGGAGGCTCCGCCGGAACCCCCCCTCGTCCAACCCATCTTACTATGTTGACCAGACCACACACTAGAAATTGAAGGGACGACGACGTTTCGGTCCGTCCTGGACCACAATCGACTTGAGAATGGTCCAGGACGGACCGAAACGTCGTCGTCCCTTCAATTTCTAGTGTGTGGTCTGGTCAACATACTTCAGCCACGTTATTGTGACTCATCGCCTCCATCTTACTATTTTGTCTCTTCTGGTCTTCACTTACTTCTAATCTATACTTCCTTAGCTGGGCCTGCGCCCCTACGTTATTCTTATATACGCCTTCTTTTGGACAGCAATTGGTAACATTCGCCTCCTTTTAGACAATAATTGGCAACTCCAATTTTACACTATAAGCCTAGACTCATTTATTGTATCCACTGTTATACAACGTTTGTTTCAAATTACGATTTATATTTATTACTAATTTCATATTGTTAAATCATGTAAACATTTGGGCATTTACTTGCTAAACGTTCTGTATCACTTACAATTATTATCGTTAGAAAGGTAAAATAAAATAACATTATAAAGTCCTTTTTGGCTTTTGCTCAAACCTCCGAAAACCGGCAATTTTGACCGTTAAAGTGAAGTCTTAGATACTCGATAAGAGGTTTAGTGCTGGGTGTATACAAGGTTGCATAAGTTGGCTGTTTGAAGGTAAAATGACTAATGTTCAATGAATGATGCAGTGTAATAATAAATTAAACTAATTTCAGTAAGAAATGAAACTAGGAGCAATTACAATAAAATGCTAGATAAAAAAATAACAATAGCAAAAAATACAAATATAATGAAACCAAGTAACAAAGAAATAATAATCAATGTAATTGGACAATTAGGATACATATGACTAGTAAAAATAAGGAGTCAATAAAGATTGACTATGGTTTAGTAATAAAATAAAATTTGTAATTAATTAAATGTAATTAAATTTAGTAATTAAAATAAAATGCTAAAATCAAATCAAATCAAATGTTTATTTAGGTAAGGTACATACATACAAGAGATTTTACAAAGAGTGATGGATTTATAGTTAGGGCTAGTACATACAATGCCTAAAGCCACTATTACGCAAAGCGTTTCGGGCATGGATGACATTAGAATGTCGTAGATTACTTTGAGGTACACTCAGGTACACTGAAAACAATAGTTTACAATTCAGGGACAGGCATAGCCAGAGTACAATGGAGCAATGGAGTATAGAGAGGCTAGGTATCAATGAGACCTAGGTTACCTATCCTCCACTAGGTAACAAGGAAGTTAATTAAAATGAGGCACTCATAGGGTTAGTCAGGTCAGATAAACCACATTGGGATAGGAATTTATTGAGGTTATCCCCTTTTTGACATTTAATTGTTTTTACTTTAGTTCACGTTCAAGTTGGTTTATGGAGAAAAGGAAGTACATCTCAAAAGAATAGAGTAGCTTAGGCTATTTCTACCCTCGTGTATATAAGGTCCCTCAAGGGGCTCACAAACCTATACAGTACACAATTATTAATCATATTTTATACTTTACATTCCGATGGTAATCACATGGGAATGTCTTATTGTGAGATGTCTTATTGATTATGTTGCCCCTGTCATTTCTTTGTTTTGGTAAAGGCAGACTAAAGAAGTTGGAGAAGGTAAAGTCATTTGAAGGAAGGAACCCAATGGCAAGAACAAGGAAGAGAGGGGGAACCCATTGGCAGGAACAGGGGAGAGAGGGGAACCCCATTGACGAGAACAGGGGAGAGATGGGGACCCCATTGACAAGAACAGGGGGAACCCATTAACAAGAACAGGAGGGAGAGGGGAACCCCATTGACAAGAATAGGGAAGAGAGGGGGAACCCATTAACAAGAACAGGAGGGAGAGGGGAACCCCATTGACGAGAACAGGGGAGAGATGGGGACCCCATTGGCAAGAACAGGGGAACCCATAGGCAAGAACAGGGGAGAGATGGGAACCCATTAGCAAGAACAGGGGAGAGAGGGGGGAACCCATAGGCAAGAACAGGGGAGAGAGGGGAACCCATTAGCAAGAACAGGGGAGAGAGAGGAACCCTTAGCGACATCGAAAGTTCGAGACAAATATTTACTATGAAAAAAAGAAAATAAGAAAACAGGAGTCCACACTATGTCTGGTGAGACTGAGGAAACGTCAGTGAGAAGAGTGAGGTGAAGAAGGGCTTCAGTTTCGTTCATGTTTATCATCTTCCACCTCACTTTCTAACCATATATTGTCATTATCTATCACTTTTACTCTGTGCGATATGATAATGGTCCAGGGCGGACCGGACCGTTGTCACCTGATAATGGTCAAGGAAGAACCTAAATGTCGTCACCTTCTCTATTTTCAAGTGTGTGGGCTGTCATCCAATTCCGACTTACGAATCTCAGACACGATAGTCCTTACACCAGTTCTCAGTTGACCACCTGAACAAAAGAGGTTTGTCAAACAAAAATAAAAACTGATTAAAATTTGTCTGTGTTTCTTGCTCCTGGTGTCATCACTCGTGCAGGAGTCCATGATGAAGGTTCAGAGACCTTCATCATGAGACGTTTTCCCCGAAAACAAGTTGAAATTCGACATGTATTACAAGATGTAATCTTGAGCGAGGCCAAAGAGCCGTGGACCAGAGGTAGACTTGTAAGACAGTCTTCAGAGGTACCAGAGTTTATCACAGAGGTTGTGGTGGGGGGAGTCATGTATGGCCTGGCCGGTGACGTAGGCCAGCTTGTGGGCGTAGAGGCAGGGGGCAGGCACTCTCACAGGGCCCTGGGGAGAGGGGAGAGAGAGAGAGACACACATATCAGTAGCCAGGGAGAGCAAGGTAAAGAGGAGGAAGGTAGGTGACATTTCCGCACCCCATGCCCTTCAACCTTACCTTATATTCCCCACATTCTATGTTGTTTAACATGTGTGTATGTTAGACTTGATAAACCTGTGCACAAGTATGCACAAAGTACTATCTTCTTTAATATAGCAGATAGAAAGTCAAAATTAGGTGTCTTTGGAAAGCAGACACCCTCAGTTGCCCAAAAAACTAACGATCTATCTATAGCATTTCTGGATAAATAGTTAAAGGATCAGCCTGAATTTTGATCTCAAGTCTCCTAGAGACAAGAGAGGGAGGGAGAGAGAGGCAGGCACTTGTCGTTGGGTAACGGTCCCTAGCCAGTGACGTCACGGCAGGTTTTCTGCCATTGGTCGCGGCACCTGTGCCTACACGATGCTCGAACCTGATTGGCCGTTTCACCAACGAGGGGGACGTGCGGCCTCAAGATTTCCCGCCGAGAGAGACACCATTCTGAACTCCAGCGCTGTCTCTACACACAGAAATCACAATTGCGTGATGCATCAAATGAACAAATCCACAGGGGCCGTGACGAGGATTCAGTTAGCTCAGTCGATTAAGGCAGCGTCTGGGATGCTCTCGGACGCAGGTTCGAATCCTCGTCATGGCCTTTGTGGATTTGTCCAGCGCTGTCTTGTGTAGACGTGGTTTGTTCTGTTCCGGCCAGAACAGGGTAATTTGCCTGTCTACATCATAGTACAGCCAGCTTAAGTGTATCTACCCCTCCCCTTCGTTATCGTCGCAGGATCCGGTAATCGCTGGGCGCTGGTAGATGTCACATAACGAAGATACAAGATAGAAATACCAGCCATCAAACGTGTTACACCACAGGAGAAACAGGAGTGTAGCTAAGATCAGTCTTTATCGCCCAAGTACAGTGGGATCCATCACCATACCGCTAAGTAAACTGTGTGAAAGGCATCGAGTTATGCGATTCCAAGTGTTTGAGTATAGTCCTAGACGTGATATTCAAATTACTGGGGATTGTGTGGACTCTGTTTGTTTCGTTACCGGTATAATCAAAGTACACAAACTATCATTTCACTGTATCATTCGTCTCAAGTGTCAAATTCCTTGTGTAGACCTAGTCAGCCGATCGGTGTTCGTTCTTCATAATCCCGCCACGGGAAAGAGTTCGATTCTCCGAGGAAGCACGATAGGTGAAGGCCTATTACAGCTAGTCTGTGTGATAACTGTAATTGGACTTTAGTGTGTTTGTCATGTTACACTATATTTTACACATTTAGTAACTGTGTGTTTATAAATTGTGTTTTTATTGTTAAGTGTGTATTATTATAACGTCACTCCGTGTCTAACCATGTCCATGTTCCGTGTCTATCTGTGTGTAACGAAGTAAGGGCGAAGAGGGAGAACGGCCTATTGACATAGCTCGAGTGCATGGGGGGAGTTGTGTAAAACCCTGGTTTGTGTCTCGGAGAGGCTGCAGGATCCAGTAAGTCCAGTAGAACTTTGGTTTTCAACTCTTTTGACCATGTCGATTAAGGCAGCGTCTGGGATGCTCTTGGACGCAGGTTCGAATCCTCATCACGGCCCTTGTGGATTTGTTCATGTCCATGTTGTCTTTCTTTACTTAAAGGGGACATGCAGTGATTAAAAGTAAGTGTTATTGAACTGTTATTGTATTCATTGCTTTTATGACATGAATAAAAGTGTCAAGTTTTAAGTGTCAGTGAGTTGTGTTGTTCAGTGCTGAGCTTAAGCACTGTATTGTGTACTTGAGGTTATCTTGAGATGATTTCGGGGCTTTAGTATCCCCGCGGCCCGGTCCTCGACCAGGCCTCCACCCCCAGGAAGCAGCCCGTGACAGCTGACTAACACCCAGGTACCTATTTTACTGCTAGGTAACAGGGGCATAGGGTGAAAGAAACTCTGCCCATTGTTTCTCGCCGGCGCCCGGGATCGAACCCGGGATTTTACTGTTTGTGTTGGTCTACGTGACCCGGTGTTGTTGTGACTTTGTGTTCATTATTGTGAAGTCAGTGTTATCGAGTTATTGTAACTAATTGCCGTCATATTTAATGCGAGGTGATTAGCAATCGTGTTGGCTAATCAGTGGCTGTCAAGCGGTCTCAGTGATCGTCTAGCACTAACGTAATTCTTCGTGAGTTAGGTTGATCTGTCAAGTTTGACAGGAACTTGAGCGGTTACTCAGGGATTGCTAATTACCGATAAGTTGTTGTTTGACTTCATTGAGTTGTTTTGATTGCTTGACTGTCTGTGTTGACAGAGTGTAATTACCGTAGTTTACCTGAGCGTAATTACCGTAGTTTACCTGAGTGTAATTACCGTAGTTTACCTGAGTGTAATTACCGTAGTTTACCTGAGTGTAATTACCGTAGTTTACCTGAGTGTAATTACCGTAGTTTACCTGAGTGTAATTACCGTAGTTTACCTGAGGGTAATTACCGTAGTTTACCTGAGTGTAATTACCGTAGTTTACCTGAGTGTAATTACCGTAGTTTACCTGAGTGTAATTACCGTAGTTTACCTTGTCTGATGCGACTGTCCTGGAGACAGATTACCGTAATTGGATTTACTAAGTAACGTAATGTAATTGAAATTGAAATAAGTTTATTGAGGTAAAATACACACAAAGGGATGAGGTAGCTCAAGCTATTCTCACCCCGTTCAGTACATCGTGTTAATACATACATAGACACACATCACAAACAATAAACATATTACCAAACATTCTGAGAGATAAACATATACATTCCCTCCTTCACAAGTAGTATGTTATCAGACGTACACATGTAATGTAATTGATTAGATCAAGTGTCATCGGTCTGTCTTTGTGTATTAACGTAATTGAGTGTTTGACTGCCGTCTTCAGAGACGAGTCTTAATGTAATTTTTTTTTTTTTGAGATATATACAAGAGTTGTTACATTCTTGTACAGCCACTAGTACGCGTAGCGTTTCGGGCAAGTCCTTAATCCTATGGTCCCTGGAATACGATCCCCTGCCGCGAAGAATCGTTTTTTCATCCAAGTACACATTTTACTGTTGCGTTAAACAGAGGCTACAGTTAAGGAATTGCGCCCAGTAAATCCTCCCCGGCCAGGATACGAACCCATGACATAGCGCTCGCGGAACGCCAGGCGAGTGTCTTACCACTACACCACGGAGACTGTGTTAATTGAGTGTTGTAAGGAAGACTGACAGTGATAGTGACAGTGACCTGTCTCAGTGACAGTGACAGTGACCTGTCTCAGTGACAGTGACCTGTCTCAGTGACAGTGACAGTGACCTGTCTCAGTGACAGTGATAGTGACCTGTCTCAGTGACAGTGACAGTGACCTGTCTCAGTGACAGTGATAGTGACAGTGACCTGTCTCAGTGACAGTGACAGTGACCTGTCTCAGTGACAGTGACAGTGACCTGTCTCAGTGACAGTGACAGTGACCTGTCTCAGTGACAGTGACCTGTCTCAGTGACAGTGACAGTGACCTGTCTCAGTGACAGTGACAGTGACCTGTCTCAGTGACAGTGACCTGTCTCAGTGACAGTGACCTGTCTCAGTGACAGTGACAGTGACCTGTCTCAGTGACAGTGACAGTGACAGTGACCTGTCTCAGTGACAGTGACCTGTCTCAGTGATAGTGACAGTGACCTGTCTCAGTGACAGTGACCTGTCTCAGTGACAGTGACAGTGACCTGTCTCAGTGACAGTGACAGTGACCTGTCTCAGTGACAGTGACCTGTCTCAGTGACAGTGACAGTGACCTGTCTCAGTGACAGTGACAGTGACCTGTCTCAGTTGTAACACGGGTTTGGTTCCTCTCTCTTTACTTCCTTCTTTCTACTCCCTCTACCCGTATTCTTACTTTTATTTCTAAACCAAGGGACTCCAAAACTTTTAACAAAGCCAACTCCACGCCACGTGGTCCTAAGACGATTGACCGACTTAGGATTCTACACCCAGTATGACGTGACCTAAGCTCTGAACAAAACCCTAGAGTCACCTCTGCTGCCACCACCAGACCAGTAATACAAGAGCAATGATCGAGGTCTGGATCGATCACGCTAATTAATCAACCTAGGGGCTTGATCCCCACTATAAACGATGACCTTGAGTGTGGAATAAATTACACGGTAATGATAATTCCGATTCGATGTTAGAATCGGCGCCCAATGCAACTCTGCCTCGTGTGGACCACGTGACCAGGACAAGTATACACATAAAACACATGGAAACAATAAAATGCAAATTAATAACAAATTTAATTTATTAAAAGAAAACTAAAACAAAATCTAAATATGTTCACTCCCTATCACTTTAACACTCCCTACTTGACCTGAATGGCAAATGAGAAGACTATTTCTATAATTAACAATAGCAACTATACCTTGGGCGACCAGCTAGATGTTTTGGCTGGTCTTGGGGAGAGGTAAGATGTTTGACCTCTTATCCCAGCTGCTCCCGTTTCCACACTGATCTCTCTCTTGTCTGGTCTACCCCAGACTAGAACATTGTATTGTTCCGCATCGCTTACCCAGTTACTAGCAAGGTTTAAGTTATAACAATTAACCTCTGTTTGTACTGAATTGATCCAGACTGGTTGAATTATTTTACTTTAATTAAATTACAAACATCTAACGGCAGAGCTGTTCCCGATCACAAAAATGGTTATTAAAACTTTGAGAAATAGTAGACCTGTCAACCCCTGATGACCTATGACCGCCGGTCACTCCGCTTTAAAAGTTAGATCTGATTCGTGACGTCACTGATGGTGACTTAAACTCAATAATTAGAATACTCTTGATATTGTATCCAGTACTATTATACAATACAATTTTAATGCAAAATGAATAAAGGCTAATTTTCTCTAAATTACTGAATACTATAGGATGATTCATTATACGCAGTTATGAACAAAGCGTCGGTTATTTCCACCGCG